AAGTGAAGGAGGAAATGTCATGATTTACTTTCAATCATTACTATCACATCAAATCACACACACTAACCTACCCCTTGTACTTTTGTCCATTCCCTTAAGTTACTTATTAAAACTGTCTAAAATTATACTGACAGCTATTTTCTCCTGTATACAGGTACTGGATGCTAGTTTGTACTGTGCTAGGAGATTCTTAAAATTAAGATTCTCAAACTGTATCTGTACTGGAAATTCGTTCGTTTTAAAGCACGGTGAGAATTTATCGATCGAATTTGCTTGATCGGAAAAACGTGAACTTAACGTGAAATCTGCTACAGAATTTAGGAATGCAGATGTTAATTCCATAAATCTTTCAATCACAAAATATACATAGTATAATGATTTTCCAGGGAAATCCTTAACTTAAATACATGAATTACATTATTAAAATTCTGAGATTTTCTTGGTCACTACAATCTACCCCCCTTAAGAAATTTTCGTCCCGAAAATTAGAACAACTCGGGGTAGCTTTTCCTCATATCTTCTTCGCGTTCCCAAGTAGCTTCCTCAATATTGTGATTTCGCCACAAGACTTTAACTAAAGGAATTACTTTATTCCTTAAAGTTTTCTCCTCGCGAGCCAAGATCTGGACTGGTTTCTCTTCGTAGGTGAGGTCCGCGTGCACTTCGACAGGTTCCTGGTGCAACACATGCGACGGATCTGTCACATATTTCTTCAACATCGATACGTGAAAGACGTTGTGTACAGAAGCTAATTCTGGCGGCAATGCTAGTCTATATGCGACTTTTCCAATCCTTTCAAGGATCTCAAAAGGTCCTATATACCTCGGACTGAGCTTCCCTTTCTTGCCGAATCTCATTACCCCTTTCATCGGTGCCACCTTCAGAAAAACTAAGTTTCCTGCCTGAAACTCCAGTGGCCTGCGGCGTTTATCCGCGTAACTCTTCTGGCGACTGTGAGCTGTATCTAACCTTTCTCTGATAAGTCTCACATCCTCTGTGGTTCTCCTGATGAAGTCTACTGTTTCAAGGTGCTTCTCCCCTGGTTCGTACCAGTGAATTGGGGACCTGCATCTTTTTCCATATAGAGCTTCGAAAGGTGCCATTCCTATTGACGCGTGATAGCTGTTATTGTAGGAAAACTCTATCAAGGGTAACTTCCTATCCCAGTTTCCCTTGAAGTCCATGACACATGCCCTCAACATATCTTCTAGGGTCTGGATGGTCCTTTCAGATTGGCCATCTGTCTGCGGGTGAAAAGCCGTACTGAACTTTAACTTATATCCCATTGCGTCTTGTACATTTTTCCAAAATCTTGATGTGAAGCGGCCGTCTCGATCTGAAATGATGGATT